AGAGCAGGGCTAATGAAGAGCACCGAAACAATGAGCAGGTGGATCAGGCTGCAAAAATAGAGGTGTCAAAGACAGACTTAGATTGGCAACACAAGGGAGAGTTGTTCCTAGCTCGATGGGCCCATGATGCCTCAGGCCATCAGGGTAAAGACGTCACTTGTAAGCAGGCACAAGACCAAAGGCTGGATCTAACCATGGACAGTATTTCTCAAGTTATTCATGACTGTGAGACGTGTGCCACGATCAAGCAGGCCAAGCAGTTGAAACTGCTATGGTATGGTGGGTGTTTGTCCAAATACAGGTATGGGGAGGCCTGGCAGATTGACTACATCACACTGCCCCAAACCCACCGAGGCAAGTGCTACGTGCTCACAGTGGTAGAAGCCACCACTGGATGGTTGGAAACCTACCCTGTGCCTCATGCCACTGCCCAGAACACCATCCTGGGACTTGAAAAGCAGGTCCTTTGGAGGCATGGCACCCCTGAGAGGATTGAGTCAGACAATGGGAAAAAGCCACATGGTTGGTGAACACCCGAGGTTCCACTTACTGAGCAAGCCCTGCCCAACCTGAGCCCTTTAGAATGACAGATGGAGATAAGGTTCCAGTGGTACATATGAGAGGTATGCTGGGAAAAACTGTTTGGGTTAATTCTGCCTCCAGCAAAGACAATCCCATCCATGGGGTTGTCTTTCCTCAGGGATCAGGTTGCACCTGGTGGGTGATGCAAAAGAATGGAGAGACCTGATGCATACCTCAAGGAAACCTTGTTTTAAGGTGAACTACCCATGACACTGTGCTTGTATCTGTATCTGCAATGTACATATGTATATAATTAAGGTAGTGAATGTTTGTATATAATTTAAAGGTTTAATATTTGATGTAACATTTTGGTATGGAAAAAAAATTGGGGTGGATAATGTTGGGTCCTTCCTTTTGTTCCATCTCACCTACAGAATTTTTGCATGGTGTTAGTCATGTTTTTCAGTGTTGGTCCTTTTAAATCTATAGAATAGAAAAGGAGGTCTAGTTTTAATCATATCTATAAAATTGTGCAACTCTTAGTGGAGGGCTCTCAACAATTCTTTTGAAATTCCCATTCCACAATCATCATAAAACTCATTTGCAAACACAAAGTTTCTCTCTGATGGTGTTTTTACCCCTTGATTAATTGAAAATTAAAGCATCTCAAACCAAAACTGAAGTCTCTGCAAAAATAACCCATTCACTGTCCATTTATAAACCGTGAGGAATTTGAGTAATTTCTCACATACTATAAATCCTAAATACTAGTTTAAGTTTTAGCACAACATGTCTTTCTGAGGAAAGGATACCAAAACCAAGAAACATAACTCAATTAAAACATAAAGGACATCAAGAAGGAGCACTTTCATATCAGTAACAAAAAACACCCTACTGGATCACAGGAAAAGTAATTTTTTGTCTAAATTTCTTTCTCCCATAGCATCCAATAGTTAATTTCTTTCTAGCTGCCTAAAAAGGAGAGCCCTAGGGTTTTGCAGTGGAGAAGTAATACATGCATCTGAGGAGAAGTTTTCTTAAATGTGTCTCGTAACAGACAAGTAAGTGTGGTGGTTAATCCCAGCCAATACACAAATATGTAAATAGCTGCCTGCTCACTCATCTCCCCTTTAGATGAAGAGAAAATAGGAGAAAGATGATAAAAGTCCATTGAGTTTGTTCAGCCCATAGACGGGATTCCTCCTATAGAATACAGAATGGAATACCAGGCTTGGTGTGTTGCTGAGAAGCAAAAATAGCTCAGGCTGTCACCAGCTTGTCACATGCCTGGTTCCTTCTGAGATTGGTCTTCCTTTCACTTGGGTTGTTCTTGCGATATTGCTTCCTACAACATACAACTCAAGCCATTGGTTACAACATGTATAAATGCTAAGGTTAATTGTGTGTATATATATATATATTTTGGACCAGGTGATAGAGTTACCTTTGCAACAATATCCACACATTGCACTTGTGCCAGCATGAATTCTCCATGGGTTGCAGTTCCTGTGAGGGTATGCCTGCTCCAGTATGAGTTTATTCATGAGCCCTAGTCCCTTCAGGGGTTCTTGATCTAGTTCATAGTTGACTCTATTCATGTCTGGCATAGCAGTACAGGAATGGAAGCATTGCCAGGGCCCAGCATATACCAGCCCGGGCACATGATAACAATATATTATTATCAAAATGTAATCGGGAATGACAAAGTAAGATGATAAGTAGAACATCAAACAGCAAAAACCAAAAAGTTATCAGCAAGCCAGATGATCCAAAATACAGCAAAGTGAATGAGCCTCATGGCAAGCATGAGAGCCTGCCAATAAACAGCTAAGAAGTTATAACATCTATACATTCAAACTACAATCAATCTGACGTTATCTTGCACCTCTTAAGCCCCATTGTGCAACAAAAAATCCTGTGGTGGGTAGGGAAAATACCTACACATCCAGCAAGTCACTCCCTTATCACTTGGAAAGAGAAGAAACAGAATGGAGACAATATTCATGGATAACAACAGGTAATTTAATAGGGGAAGAAAAATAGGGGAAGCAGAACAGTTTCACTATTTCCCATGGACTAGAAGATGTTTAGATACCTCCTGCAGAGCAGAGCCTTAACATACACAATGATTACTTGAGGAAATACAGGCCAAAACCACATATGTTCCTAATCCCTCCTCCTAACCTTTTATTGCTTTTATTGTTTTCATTGCTGACTATGATGTTATATGGCCTGAAAGATCCCTTTGGTCTTTTGAGGTCAGCTCTCCTGACAGCTTCCTACCCAGGTCCAGCCTAGTCCCTGAGAGGGGAAGGTGAGGGAGGAAAATGAGAAAAATAGAATACCTTGATGCTGGACGAGGACTACTCAACAACAGCCAAGACATGAGTGTGTTTGCAACAGTGTTTCAGCTACAAATTCAAAACAACACCATAAACCTGCTATTAAAAAAAAATTGAAACAATATATACATGTATGTATATGTATATATATACACATGAAACCCCAACCCACACCCAAAAACACAGTACACAGCAGGCATTAAACATGATACTTACCTGGGGAATTTCACTAGTTTCAATAGCCTATATTTTAAAGTCATCCTGATATTATGGCATTAAGCATTTGATTGGACACCTTGTGCTATTACTACAATTCATAGTCTTCCTCCATACTTGCTCCAACAGATGCATGTCCTTCCTGTGCTGGGACCCCAGAGCTGGATGCAGATGGATTCCAGGTGTGGCTTCACCAGAGCAGAGGGGTAGAATCCCCACCCTCTTCCTTCTGGCCATGCTGCTTTGGATGCAACCCAAGACACAATTTGCTTTCCAGGTTGCAAGTGCTTATTGCAAGGCTGGGTCACATCCAGCCTCTCATCCACCAGCACTCTCAAGTTCTTCTCAGAAGAATCTGCTCATCCTACAGCCTGTGTTGGAACTGGAGTTTGCCATGACCCAGGTGCAGCACCTTGCACTTGGTCTTGTTGAACCTCATGTGGTTCCCATGGTCCCACTCCTTCAACTTGACCATGTCCTTCTAGATCCTATCCATCAGGAGTGTCAGTGGCACCACTCAGCTTGATTTTATTTGCAAACTTGCTGGAGGTACACTTGCTCCCTTTCTCTATGTCATTGTTTAAGTCATTAAGCATGACTGTTCCCAATGTGGATGTCTGAGGGACACTAGTTGTCCGTGATGTTAATAAGGACACGGAGCCATTGACTACTACCATCTAGGGAACCAACTCAATTCATCCAACTCCTTATCCACCAAAGACTTCACGCATCAAATCATCTCTCCAGTCTAGAGAGAAGGATGCTGTGGGGAACCATGTCAAAGGCCTTATATAAACCCAGATAAATTCACATTCACATAAGGACATTCACAGCCCTTCCTTTGTCGATTAACATTGTCATTCCGTCCCAATCACCTGAATGCCCTGAAGGCTCTTTCCATCACCAAAAGCCTATGCATTGCAACTTCATCACTACCCCCTTGACAGACTAGTAATGGGCAGTAGCCCAAAGGCCTTACCAGGAAGCCTCCTGGTGATGTCCTTAGATCTGGCTCCAGGTTCACAAAGCGTATCGGACTCCATTGCAATTTCAAGGCAATCACCTACAACTACATCCTGTCTTTTTTTTGTTGTGGAAGTAGTTGTGTATGTCTTTCAGACACTGTTGTAACAGCTCCAATGGAGTTGGGTCTTCATCCATCCTCATCGTCCATTGATTGGCCTTCCACATACAGACCCTCTTATCTGTTGTCTCCATTCACTCTTTTTTTGACCTTCTGCCCTACTGCCTTCTCTCTGGTGGGTGGATGACAGACAATACAGTTGATCTTGTTTTGTTTCCTGGTGGCTGGTTCTGTCTCAGAGAGTTAGGGTGTTGCTGTTCCACAAGTGAAAAAAAAAATGCTTCATCTCTATTGAAAAGATTTTGTTTGGGGAATTTCACAGGGAAGGGGAAGGCAAGAGAGAAGATGAAGGAAAAAGAACTACATGACTTTAGGTACCCTTTAAAAATCAATACACAGATAAGTCCTTCCTACCGCACAGTAAGATCCACATCCACAGCAATTTGAATCAAAAAAGAATCACAGAAAACTATCAAATAATTTTGTAAAAGTCGTTTTGAATTTTCCATGTTGGATATTGATGCAGTTACAGATCATACACAAGTATGATTTTACATATTTTTCACCATGTATAGAAGAAATGAGTCTGATACATATTCTACTTCTCTCCATCTACAACTTTCCCTTCAGTTCTACTTTTTTTGTGTTGCAAGAAAAAAGAAGGTTGCATTATAATTCTATCCCTTGTTTATAATTTCAACAAATTTTACTAGTTAAGAAAGAATTTTTCTTGCTTCTCTCTGCTTAAGGCTATATTGAATTTATTTTGATATATCATCAGAAATTACTCAACCATTTCCCTAAAAAACCATCCAAAAAAAGTGAAATTACCCATTTGTATCAGGTGGTTTGTTTAATGATGCTAGTCACTCCACGACATGCATTCTGCCGAATATAAGAAAACAATCTTAAAGTTACGTTTTCTTTTTTCGATACAAGTATATAGATTAAAAGAAAAATCATTGGAAACCAGAGAAATCTTTTGTCCAAACTCAGACTGAGATTTGTATTTTAATTCTTCAAAAGCTCTAGCTTTTCTTGACATTCCCAAGTCCCTTCAGCCAGCAACATAGCATTCTGTAATTATTGACATGGGACTCTTATAAAAAAACTACACTTATTTATCAGAGATAATACTATGCATCTTGCAATATCTTCTTGTAAAACTAAAAGAGAATTAAGCCTTCTGCCACACAGAGCTATAACATCTAAAATGAAAAGATTAAGCCTATAGTTCTATCTTCTGCAAGAGTTTTTTAAAAAGAAGTTTTACCCCAGAGTCAGGGGTCAGCTAGAGGAATTTCAGGTATCAACATGGCAGTGGCTTCCAGGTAACACACTCAAGTGATTCAAGTAACACCATATCTCTAGTTACTTATGTCAACAACACCAGCAATAAAATGCAAGGATTTCTTCTTGTGCAAGATAAATCCAAGGATGGGATGTGAACAATGAATATTATAGTATAAATTTATTTTAGATCTTATGCTCTACCATTATACATTTTGCATGTTTCCAATATATAGCAGAGACCAGCTCCACAGCCCACATGCTTCTGCCTCCTCACAGCTGGGCATTCAGCTGTCTCTCATTGAAGGTAATCAAGCTTTAATTAAGAAACCCTTAGCTTAAGCAGCTGTTTGGTGAGCTTGACTGATATGGACCCAGCATCACCAATACCTGATTTACCAAGACATCAGGAAAAACAACTTTGATGGAGGAGCCCAGCCTAAGGTTTTCTCAAAATAAACAGAGTTTTGCAGTACAGGCAGTGGTTCCTGCTCTATACTTCATTTACCAGTGTAGTTTCATACTGAAACTGTAAATGTTGGGGGGGGTTGGTGGGGAGGACACACTGAAAAAAAGGATCAGATAAAAACAAACTATAAATGATGCTGCATTTCATTATATCACATGGTTTATCCCTGATGCTTCCCCTCTGAACCGTGGTGTTACCTCCTTCCCCCTCACTCCTCCCCTTCGGTTTCTCCCAATTGGTTGTAACCTGCCTTCCACTGCCCTCTTTCCCTCTGTTCAAAATCCAGCCATGAGCTAGACTCATTCACTTTTCTGCCGGAACCATTCGGAATAAAGCTGGGACGCGAAGAAGAGAGCCTCCTTCATCTTTTATCTTTTATCCTTGCTAAAATCTTATCCCACCCCCTACCCCTGGTGGACTGCAGTGGGGCAGGCATTTTCCCAGGGGTGGGAGCAGGGGATAAATAGCAAAATGAAGTTTAGACTTTCAGCAATCCAGTAAAAGTTGTCTTGAAACAGTTTTCAAAGTGCTAGAGTATCTTTACATATAGCAAACATCTGATGTCAATATTTCATAAAATCATGGAATGATTTGTGTTGGAAGGACCATAAACTTATTCTACTTCCAACCCCTCTTCCATGGACAGGCACACTTTCCACTAGACGGTGTGGCCCAAAATTCCATCCAGCCTGGGCCTGAACACTTCCAAACAACACTTTGGTAAGCCCAAATTCTTTTGACAACCTGAATTAGTGTCTCAGCACCACATTGTAGAAAATTCCTTTACCTGATCTAAGTCACTTCCTTTTTGAAGCCATTCCCCCTTGTCCTATGATTACAAACCCTTGTAAAAAAGTCCGTCTCCAGCTCTCTTGTCGCCTCCCTTTAGATACCAAAAGGTTGCTATAACATCTACTGGGAGCCTATTATTCTCCTGACTGAATGGTCACAACTCTTTCAGCCCATCTTCACAGGAGAGGTGCTCCATCTCTCTCATCATCTTCATAGCTCTCCTCTGGACTTGCTCCAATGTCCTTCCTGTGACAGGGACCTTAGAGCTGGATGCAGCACTGCAGGTGGAGTCTCACCAGAGCAGAGCAGAGCATAGCAGAGCAGAGCAGAGGAAGACAATCCCCTCCCTTGCCCTGACGGTCACATTGCTTTGGATGTGGACACACTGATTTTCTGGGATGCCAGCTCATGTCCAGCCTCTCATCCACCAGCGAGCCCAAGGCATTTTTATCAAGACTGCTCTAAATTTATTCTATGCCCAGCCTGTATTTGTGCTGGAGATTTTCCTGACCCCAGTGCAGGACCTTACACTAGACCTTGTCAATCTTCATGAGGTTCACACAAGCCCATCTCTCAAACCTCTCTCAGTCCCTCTCAATAGCATCCTTTCTTTCCAGCATGTCAACCACACCACACAGCTTGGTGCCGTTCGGATGGACTCCATTCCACTGTCCATGTTGCCGATTGTGTTAGTTTGGCATTTAGGGAAAGAAGTGGGAAGCACTTTGGAAGTGATTTCTGGGAGAAGCTGCTGGGAGCTTCCTCTGTGTCTGAGATCAGGCCAATAGTTGTCCAGTTCTGAGAACTGACAGCATTTTTCACCACTGAAAAGTTCATCTCTGTGAATACCACCTTTTAAAAACCCAAGCCCGGGAGATTATCTCTCTTTCTTTCTGGCCCTGAAAGGCAGCAGAGCTCTGGTGAGGCTGGCCCTGCTGCCCTGCGGCCTGTGCGGCCTGAGGGGGGCTGAGCCAGAGCCCAGTGGCTCCCGGGTGGGGAGTAGAGACTGCAGGGTTCCCCCTAGGCCAGGACAGGCTCTGCTGCAGCGCTGGCTTCTCCAGGGAAGTTCTCCGGGTCCCGTTCTGGTGGGGTGGCCGAAGCCCTTCCCAGGGGGGCCCCCAACCCCCGGCGGGGCCAGGCCACAGCTGCTGACTCCTCTCCCCACCACCCCTCCAGCCCTCACAGACGGCTCTCGGGTGCCGAGCTGAGAGAAGCACCAGAGGAGCCTGAAATCAGACACCGTGACTACCTGCCGTGGCCTGGGCCAGATTTAACTCTTTCACTACACAGGTGAGACCTGCAGACCTGTTTGCCCCCCGCCACCCAGGGAGAGAAAAGTGTAATCGACACGTAAAAGGACTACATGAAACATCATGGTCAGTAAAAGAAGGAGTTAAGCCTCAAATAAAAAGAGAATGAGGAGATGCTCTAATAAGCTGAAAAATTCTTTTGGTAGGGCCGCAGAGATAGACAATAATGTTCTAAAAATAACTCCTTTAATTCATGAAAGAGTATTAGGGGAATGAAGTATTCAAGCTTCTGAGCTTGAGCTGAGTAGAGGTATCCATTGATGAAGGCAAGCAAATGTTAAAGTAGCTGTGATCCCATGATATGCTTGAACAGAGAGAGAAATAAGAGCTGATGAAGACCCTTTGCACCAAGGAGAGAAGAAGAAAACCTCTGTTCCCAAAAATGATCACAGAGATATTTGTAAAAAAAAATCTCTGTAGCATGACAAGAGAAACTTGTCAAAAAAACTGATGAAATAACTATTGTATAATTAGTACTGTTTTAATGTCCCAAATTTTGTCTCTACATTGTTGGTTGGGAAAATAAAAGTTAGGTAAGGGGAAGATAGGTTTCTAGAAGTTGTACTCTAGTTTCTTATTCTTGTAGTCCTGTTAATAAAATTTCTTTTTTCCTTTTAAGTTTTAAGCCTGTTCTGCCCTTCTCATAATCCATGTCTCACAGCAAAAAATGAGTAAGTACCCTGGTGATTTTAGCTAGCGCTAAAACTCACCACACCAATAAGACTGTTAAACAGCACTGGTTCCAATACCAACCCCTGAGGACAAGTCATCACGGGTCTCCACTTCGACACTGAGCCATTGACTGTAATTCTCTGAGTGTGGCCATCCATTCTATTATGTAACCACTGAGTAGCACATTTCCTGCTAGTTAAAAAAGTATGAAGCAAATCATCAGTTTAGATTTCTAGCCATTTTTTGCAAATAGTTACCTCTTGTAGACTCCGGAGAGTACTCTGGAGACAATATAATTATCATGATTTGACATGTTTCTGCCAATAAGTTCTCTAACTGATAGGCTTCTGCTTGTTAGGAAAAAAACCCTTCTGGGTACTCTTTGTCTCTTATTTACTAAATTCTGAGGGGATAAGCCAAGTGAATCTAACAATCTTTTAGACATTATCTAATAGTTTCTACTGAGTTCAGTATTAAAAAATAGTTGCCCAGATACCTGTCATATCCCTCTTTTCCTAGGTGCAGTCAGTTGTTTCAGGTCTGGATTGAATTCTAGGTTTGGAATTTAAGCTATTAGGCTTCTTATGTATGGAATTCACTTAGAAGACAACTCTGCTTTGCCATACTTGAGGAATTACTAACACCAGAGTTTGAGATGGAATTTCAGTGGCATATGAGAGGACACTGCTGGTAAGACTCTCAGATTCAAAAACTACTTTCTTACTTGTTCCAGATCAGCCTTTATCTGTCACTGGAACATATTGAAAGTTATTGCTGAACTACAAGAACCTGCAAGAAAGAGACTGGAGAGGGACCAGTGAGTTAGTTGAAGTATGGGGGCTACCCTTTTCATCTTCTGATCTTGATTAACTTTTGCCTGACAGAGTTTCACTCATCTGATAGGACAGCCAATTCTACTCTGTAAGTTTAATTATTATGGAATCCTGGTAATATAAGGGTTAAGCCTGGTCTGGTAGGCTAATTTAAATTAACATCACAATGCTTTGTAGTAACTGTTCCACTATCATCTTGTGAAGACTGTGTAAAAGTCATTTGGATAGTTATCTTCCTAGAACAACATTCATAATCAATTCCTAAGATACATAATCATAAGGTCCTATCCATTAGGATATTTTTTTATTTTTACAGGAATTAAGATCTCTTCTTTTACAAAAACTATGTTTGGCAATAGTCCACATTTCAATTGTACCACAATAAAAAGCAACATTTACATCAATTAAAAACAAGTGGTTCGGCCATCTATTTTAATATATATATTTAAACCTAATTAGCCTATTAAGTCAACCTGATTATGTGTTTTTAAATGCCTGCTTTTCTTTGCTGAAAGTAAGATTTTAAACACAAAATATACTAAGCAGCATTTCATCTGTAACCTATCAAACAAAGTTATTGAGGCATGAGTTCTATATAACCAGTGAAGCAGAAGACCATGCTATTACATGGATAAATGCTCCAGAACTACTGAAGCAACACAAAAACAATCATAGAAACATGGCTTTTGAAACCTCATAAGCAACTAATTTTGAAAACAAGTGTGGGTGGATGTGTGTATATATATTAATAGGCACATGCACACACACAGGTATAGATAGATAGATAGATAGATAGATAGATAGATAGATACATATACATATACATATACATATACATATACATATACATATGTATGTTTTGTTTCATATATATATATATATATATATAATATTTGACATCAAATCTCCAGAAGAGATACATCTGGACTTGCTTCAAAATAATGTTACCTCACTCAACTCCTCCCAAAAAACACTGAAAAAAAGCCAGAAATTAAAGCTTTCTATGAGACTTAAAACCAGAGCAAACCAAACAAACAAACAAACATACAAACCAAAACAAAACAAAAAACCCACCACAACCTTTTTTCTCAAGTTTTAAGTTCAGGCAGAGGAAAAATAGCAATTTACTACCCATTTTGTCTCTGGAAACACCATCACCTCACAGTAGCTCCTGCACCCACTGTCTTATAAACTCCTTGTGGGGTCCAAGAGGTCTCTAATGCAACTTCTACTCTGTCACCATCTAATTTGGGATTAGACCCTACCTTTACACAATCAAGATTATGCCCAAATTTGTATGGTGCTTTGACATTTGCTCCCCAGGGTGATTGGAGAGGTCTAATGGGTACTTAAGCCTGAATGCCCCAGCTCCCAGTCCCCAGCAGCTGCAACCACCAACAAAGAAGTAGATGATTTCAAATCTCTTCTGAGGCCTCTTCCAGATAGTGGACATGAAACAATCTTAAAGTTCTCTGTTGTAAAAAAACAGTCAAAACTTATGCAACCCAATGGCAGTACAGATAAAACTGACCAGCAGAGTCCCATAGAAGGGCCGTGCCCTGCTCCACACTCCCAGCTTGTGCAGGAGCTCAAGGTAGCTCCAACATGCAATGTGTGGCAAGGACAAATGCCGTGCACAGCCTGGCTGAGCACAAAATATTATCCTTCTTTATTCAATTCACCTAGCACTGCAGAAGAGCATGTTTGGAGTCTACAGCCCTGACATCCTCTCAAAAATAGGTTTTGTTGCAGGCTGTCCATATAAACAGCACTCTCTCAAGGCCTCCACTCACTCACTTTGTGGTTTCTGTTCCCATCTTTCCCCATGCCTCTGAGCCTATTCCCTTTCAATAATTATGAAATTCTTTCATTATAATTTTTTCATTCCTTTATATCATATTACACTGATTTCTCTCCACACTCACCACAGCCTCACTATATGGGAACAGAAGCAGCTGGGATAGATAGCTCAGGTGATTTGTGCAGAAGGCATAAGCCTGAAAACAAGGGAGGAAGGATACTGAAAGGATGGAAACTAGGATGCTACTGGGATCATTTCATAATAGGCCATGTTTCTGGTTCTGGCTCTCAGTTGGTTCAGGACCCGTCACATATAAGGTCTGGGTCCATATTCACAACTGGCCCCTGCCCTCAGGTGCCCCTATATATTGTTAAGTTCACCACAGCCCTTGGTCTTTGGAGCTTACCCCCAGAAGGTGTGGTTCCTGCAGTTTGTTATTTTACCATCATTAATGTGTTTCAGGTGACTCCATCATTTCCATCCCTCCACTTTGCCATGCCTGCTAGGACCAGTCCCAGAGTCACAGGGAGCTGACTGTAGCATCACTAGTCTGCAACAAAGCAGTGTTTGCTCTCTGTTTCCCACAGAAGGGGCCTCTACACACAATATGGGAGAGAGTTGGCTCAAAAAAATATACCCTGGGCCTTATCCCCAGCAGTAGATATCAGCACCCACCACTTCACCACACTACTCAGTCCAGGGGACAATGTTTTATGCTAGCTGGGAGCATAGCCCTGTGGCTCCATCCTCCCCCTCCCACTCCCACTCAGCAACCCTTCTGCTCATTGGATGAGCCCCCAGAGCCAGCATCCTGCTTCACTCTCACTCTCCAGCTCCCAGTATCGTTAGGATACTGGCCAGCACCTTGCAGGGTTAAGACGTTTTAGGTGGCCAGAAAGGTGATTTGGGTAGCTCCTTTTCTCTTGTACGGCATATGGAAATTTTTAATTCAAGGGCACTATGATCCCATGGGGGCACCAAGCTCCCCACAGCCACAGGCAGCCTAGACCTCATTGGCAAGGGCTGTGGGAGCAGTGGTGGGCTAGTTCCCACCTGAGCCCACAGCCTCCACAGGAAAGGCAAAAGCTACTGTAGCATCAGGTCAGTGTCTTTGTTCCAAGGTCAGAGGTTGACCACTTAATGACTCATTTTTTCTATGTTTGCAAGTGTTTTCCATTGCACACAGTAAGGCTAGCATGGAGCTTATTTGTTTCCAACTGCAAACATTTGTTCATTATCCTAGGCTGATCAGCATGGTAAAGAACTAACACACTAAAATTTCTGCATTGATGAAATGAAGCAATGAATGAACAAATACCTTGTGACTAGCTAGTCTTAACATTTACAGCTGTTTTATTTGAATTGAATTAATTGTCAATTAATGCATGCCTCTACACTATCAAGAGCTCTAATCAGGGTAGTCTCAAAGTGAATGTCTTCTACTTCTAACATTTTTATTAATTGCTTACTCAAAAGTAACATAGTCAGGCTAGCAAGATACACATAAAAAGAGATTCTTAGAAGTAATCTCTTAAGTCCACAAGATAGTCTAGGACACAAAATGCAGCACACATCCCTCATTCTATGAAATATCAGACAGATGAGATAGAATGGGTTTTTTTCCCTCCATTCAAAGGTATAATGAAATGCTTGTCATCACAGAAAATTGCCCTAAGCAGTGTTTTTTTTCATAATAATAGTAACCTAAAAGACAAATTAAAGAAATCAAAGAATAAAATTCATCCAACCATTTTTGCAAGGCAGCAGCTGGCACTCATAATCACAAAAGTATCTGCTGCACCATAGACTCCAAGAGAACAGCCAAACCAATCTATAGCACAAACCCAACGTGTTTAGGGTGGGAAGGTGGTGTAAGATTCTTGAATGTGAAATTTTAGCCCTGGGGGAGTTTTCACAAGCAAGTAACACACTGCTCAGAAAGGCTGTTTTACTGAAAACAGTACTGAATTTAACTAACATAGGACAAATGTTCTGCTATACAAACCCACGTCTGGACTGTATGTGTCTCTAAACTAGGGGGTTCGTGTGTTAGGTTTTGCAATGCGAGCCAAACCTGAGGGATAAAATAGTTTTACGTGAGACACTGCTGCCCTCCAGCGACGACATGCAATTGGGGAAGAGACCTTTTCCTGCAAAAAACTTCTTTGCTCTCAGGTAAGTGATCAGCTATCATTGAACTATGACAAAATTTAATGAGACTAGACTGAAATCTTAATTAATCTTAGCTTTAAAATACAGTTTGATTAAACAAAGTATTTGACTGTAGATAAATATATATTTCTGCAAATGGAATGTGTAGTGCAATACAATTACAATCAGCAATACTTCTGTGTTGGAATAAAACTCTGCAAGCCAAGCATTTCAGAAAAGCTGAAAGCAAGAAATCTATATTATATGACAGCTGAATAACAAATGGATCTAATTTAGCTTTGACACTTCTTATGAATGTGACAGTGTTTACACTACTGGGGAGTTTCACAATAAATATTATCAAACATTTCAACAAAAAGCAGTGTAAATCATAAATGTGCATCATGCACTTTTGCAGGATTGCCCAACATCTCAGAGGGAACAAATGACTGCTTTAATTTTTGCTAAAAACTAACCTTCATTTTTTTACAAGTGTGTTATATGGTAGACAAGTTGTTTGATAGTCCTTAATTTTGTAGTTCCAAATTTCCAGTATTTTGTGACTTATTTTCTCTTTGTTTAGCTTACAGATTTGCATTCTGATGGGACCTTGTCCGTATTGCAAAACTTATGGAAATCATACCCTTTGATGAAGTTTCTTGACACAAAATCTTAAACCTACCTGTTTCACCAGGAAACAAGTGTGTTCCTCATGGGAAACATGATCAGAGCACACGCACAGGCCTTACAGATTAGTCAGTTGTGAGGACACATCATTTTTTTTATTTTGCAAATTCTCTTCTGTAGCTAGTTTCAGTAAAATTCTCTTTTGAATCAGATTAATAGTAAAAAAAACATGCTCATGCAGTTTTAGTCTTTCAGTTTGCCAACAGCTTTTCGATTCTCATGCACTTGTGCTTTCACAAGCAGAATACATTCCTTTTTTTGGTTAACCCAGGACTACAATGCTTCAGATGAATGCAGCAAATTATTTTCTCTGTCATAAACATTTTAGTTCTGCAATGAACCTGGCAGAACAGAGTGTGCTAAATACTAAACAGCTATCTAACTTATAATCTATCTCTGGGACACATAGATGCACTCTTCTAGGTTCCTGTTGCTGCTAGACAACATGAAATCGGTCACACAAACACAGCTCGAGGTGTGGTGAAAAGAAGAGAGCTTTATTTCCTCTCTCAGAATTTATAGGTTTCTGACCACAGTCAGGATAACACCTTCCCAACCACACTGGCCGTGAGAGATGTCTATCAAGGGACGTGTATCAGAAAGAATGTATACATATCTATATTTACAGTTACTGTCCTGGGAAAGTCTTCAGAAACTGTGTCAGCAAGCTCAGAAAACTGAGTTTTCAGGGTAACTGCAGTGCACTTTTCTACTTCACCAATAAGTTGTGATCTGAAAAGTAGTGATAGAAACACATTGCCTGCAATATCTCTACCTAAATTCCCCTACCTGAAATGTCTCTTATCTACTGCTACTTAGGCCCCCATAGCAAAGAAACTTCCACAACTATCTGAGAATATTTTCTGTGATACAAGTCTGAGAGTGTCAGGAGACACTTGCATTGTTAAATAGAAGAGACGGATGTTTGCAAAAATATAGCTACAGGTGAAAGAAAATCAGAAAAGATGAGTAATTGCATGTGGAGAATGGAAGGGTGTGGAAAAGCATGGCAAGAGTATGAAAGTGAGTATGGGATGGACAGACAGGTAGAGACACAGAAAAAAGCAAAAGATAAAAATATGAAAATAAGAATGAGAATACTCCAGGACTTGGGAGCAGAACAGAAAATCTTTTTCCATGCTCTGTGCAAGACAGATTTCTGTTCTTCAAATATTTGCTTATGTTTTTTCAATAAATGACTTACCTTCAAAAATAAAATATTTTAAATTCTTGATATATCAAGTACTCACTTGCCTAAATCCTAAATCTCAAATATAAGACAAAAGTAAAGATGGAATTTAACAAAATACTGTGACTTAACAAAATGTTTATAGAATTTGTCTTTAAAGAAACATTAAGGTTAAACCTGTTTATACATCTTTCTTTCAAAGTTATATAGGCATGTCCATGCTTCACTGGTTGGGTTTTAAGGTTCCCCATCTAGCTTCAAATGTATTCTTTGAAAGTAAAATTTTTCTATTTTTATTCCAAATTATCCTATCAGTAACTAATCTCCAAAGGTACCTATTTCTTTCATTCACTTTAAATGTCATATTTATTTTGAACTCACTTAAAATCTTGATTTTTCATCATGCTCTCTGGGAAAGCAACTATACACAGGCTGCATGACTCCTACTCTAGTACTTCATTATTTGTAAATATACTGACAGAAAGAACAAAAGGCAGAGAGAGAGAGAGATTAAAAGACACAAGACCTCCTTTAGCAGGAAAAAAACTCCAAAGCTATCCATTATGCACATAAAATGATCTGTGTATCTTCCCCTCTTAAGGACAGATTTTATGTCCATCACAGCACTTTGAGGCTACAATTATTCATGTTCCTTTTCAAAAAGTTCTGCAAGAACTGTAATACTCAAATGGTCCATGAATTCTGTAAAAAAGACACAATTTGCTCCTTATCACCACCCTGCAATGTAAATTTTCCATGTAAATCTTGAGAGGAATTTATTTTGAGGCATCTCTGTACTCAAATGTTGATACACATTCTCAGATAAATACAGAATGGGATACTAAAATTGTTACAGTAGCTTTGCCTTGGAACCTGGTTAAGCCAACCCTGGAAGGATTTAAAAGACAAGTAGATGTGGCACTTAAGGACATGGTTTAGTGATGGCACTGCTGGGCTTATGGTTGGACCAATGATCTTCAGGACCTTTTCCAACCACGAGTCTGTGATTCTATACACAAAGTAGCTTTTTCATTTGCAAAGAAACTTTGCAATGAAGCACTAAAAATTCTCTGGGTTTCAAAAGCAAAAGTTGTCAGTACATGTTTAGCAAGACCCTGAGTTAGATATAGATCAGACCTACACTGAGAGACAGACATGACAAGATGACTGATGTCATCATTATCTTTTATGAAAACCACTACATGAAGGCTCTTTTGATCTAGGATTTTAATTTTTTGAAGGGAGAGACAGCAGTCATTGTTTCATATGCACATACGCATGCAGCATAAATAGGTATACATGGTTGTATATAAACAAAAAGAAGAAAGAATATATATTGTAATGTTTATGTGTATACAGGTATGTATAAGTATATACCTCCCTAAACCTGATTTTCCAGAACTGGAACATTGCTATACAAAGCAAGTTTACTCATCATTTCTCAGCCTTACACTATCACTCATGTTTGGTCACTTCTGATGACTTGGAAACAAATGTGGAAGAAGTGTATGTATTCTTGTGCATTTGCAGCAATCTCTTAGTAGAATTTATTCCTCTATGCAACTTTGGTACAGATTTCCACCAGTTTGATCAAGTATAATGAACAAGAACTGCAAGAGCTGGCAAGGAATGTATATGGCTCAGTTAGGGTTCTTGCGGCCCAGAACTCAGCTACAGGCAAGTTTAATATTACTGCTCTGACAGTGCCAGAACAATGTTTTCACTTTAGCATAAGCGCTAGCAGAAATATGGAAAATATGAACAACTTCACAAACTGTTACTGTAATTCACAGTTTGGGGTTTAGATTAATCTAAAACATTTCACTCAATTAATAGCTTCTATTTTTATTTTCATCACTTACACACATAGTTTAATACAGTACCATCTGTTCTCACAGACCTGGTTTTAGTTTGACATCTTTCACAGTTAATTTGCTTCCTTATTTTATCTTAGAATGTGCATCTATTCAATATAGAAATGCTAAGTGAGTTTGTTTTGTGGAACTGTTGCAAATCTTAGGCACTTTGACTTATACAACTGATAAAGACAACTTTGATAAATTTACTGCAAAATGCCTGAAGATTTTCTCCAACTACTCCAATTACAGTTATCTCTCTAAATATATGTTTGTGACATGAAAAGAACAATTCCCTAAAAGCTACAAAAAAGAAACACTCCACAGGAATGGATACAGACTGAAGTGGAAAGCTATTTTCAGGAAAAACAAACATGAGCAGTCAAGTATTGTGTACTAAATATAGTCCTTGTCTTTTTTTCCTGTAGCTTACATTTTGTCATTGATCTTTTATTCTGGTGACAACACTTCAAATTTTTGTCCTTGTGGAACTTCTCATTTGGCTCTGGGGAGCAAGAAAAATACAAAACGCATAGAGTATTTTTTCCATTCTTTTAAGGACTACATCCTTCATTCGGTCTTTGATTTTTTCCCTATTTTTAAGTAAAACTTTTTTAAATACTATTTTTTAAAGTGAAAAGAATAGCAAGTTCTTAGCGAATCTGTGATTGTTGGCAGAAAGTAACAGGAAAGTGTCAAGAGAAAACTACCAGGTGTGTGTTCTTTGTTGCAGTAAGCTTATGTTGCTGCACATCTAATTTTCCTTGGATTACACCACTAACAAGAATTCCCTGCTGACTATAATATCAGTAAAAAGATATAGCCCCTGATGAAAGATTATAAAAATTGTTTCTGATTGTATGTTGATAACATCAGGTGTTAAATATGGCTAAATGTTTCAGTTTCAACAATAATTTTTAATTTGTGCAAATAAAGAAAAAAAAAGCGTATTTTAATTCTTAATTCTTTTGTGGCTGGTAAAGAATAGCTCACAAAAATAAAAGGGAAAAATACCTGAAGAGCAAAAGGAACATGAAAATTAAATTTGATGTCTTAGTATCTTTGCATTCCATAAGAAATCAGGTTTTGAAAAGGGCATTTCAAGAGTGACACTCCTCACCCCCATCCCATCCCATTCTTCCACGGCTTACTGCACTGTTGCAGAAAGCAGCACACATTCTTGCAATTCCAGATCCAATCACTAGTGAAGTCACACGTGAGCTTAGAACAGGACTTGGTCTTACCTGATGAACTCAATCTTGGAGGTCTTTTCTAATTTACATGATCTTTTGAATCCATGGTAACATTTAAATTGGCCAGTTTTACCTGATGCAGCTTTTAATTTGTATTTAGTGGCATTTTTTTCTTTGGTATATGTACCTGTATTTTTTGCTTGATGCCTAGAGTGCTATATATAGCGTATTTGCAAGAGACTGGTTATTCTGGGCTACTTACCTTATTTTCTTTCTTACTTTACCAAAATCACATCTTAGTGGTTCGAGACAGCACGGCTAAAGCATCTCCGTAAAGAAGTAGATCAAGATTTATTTGAGAATCACAGCGAGGGACATCTCTCAGCTCAAAGCTGATGATGTTCATTGAGGCTAAAACTTTGGAGGCAGCCATACACCAGTGGTTGGTTGCATCATTCTTGCATGCAGTGGCTGCAGAAGTTGGTGAACCATAACAACATTAAGCTGACAGGTCACAGATGTTGGACTGCTGTTCATAAGCACTGACAAAAAGAAAATACACTGAAGAAAAATGGCTATTGAAGCATATTTTATTATGCAGTAATTTGTAATACAGGAAAGGTGTCAGTTTTAAACATATATATACAAACTTACAGTAAATGAAGTGATCATTTGTTTTGAGAAGGAACAAGCTGCACTCAATCCAGTTTTACTAGTAAACAGTGTAAAATTTTAAAAAACTTTTCACAATTTAGAACCTTATTTATAGAATATACAGACTTTTATTGAAAGATGAATATACAATGGGCACAAGTTCTTACTCATACTACTATGAAAATACACTTATATTTCACATACTTCCTTTTATATTCAGTGGGAAACCTCCATAGCTTGGTTTTATTTGTTACTCAGCCACTTAATGACTAATTTCCTATTAGTCCAGCTATCTGAAGCCATAACTCAAGAAGCAGAATTGTAGAGAAAGAACTTCTTTGTATAAAATCAGTAACACTTTATATATTGAATCAGATTTTCTTTAACAGGAAGTTTTTTCAAAATAAGAGACAGTTTAAAAAAATTTTTACAAATATTGATATTACTAGTCCTAAGGAGACCAATAAGATAGGATTAAGACTGACAGTAATACCATGGAAGTGGAAGATAAATAATAAAATAACTGGTACTCTAAAAACCTTCTTGAATCCATAAGTAGCCTAGGACAGGGTTAGAGAGAATTACACGCTATATCAAGTCTGGCAGAGGTAGTGGTAAAGACCATTGGAAGTTTACATGAGATATTGGTCCATTTTTATAATTACCTAACACAGCTAGAAACACCTTGAAAATATGTTTCTTTATAATTTAATGAAGTACCATCACTGCATGAATTTATTTCTCCCTTTGGTTTATGAACTGGGGATCACTGACTGCAGTATTTTTACCTAAAATGCTACCCTACCACTGCCGTATAGCAGTGGATAGGGGAAAAATAAGAAAATCTCTTTAAAAGGATATATATATATATGTGGATTGCATGCACTAGCACAGAAGCCATTACTTTATTTGGAGATCTGCATGTATGCAGAGCTAAATTACATTCCTTGCAGGACTGGCCTATAGGTATTTTCCTTAAACTACATTTTAGCATCTTATACAGATTTGTAACTGTAACTTTTCTTTTCCTAACAGAGGATTTTCTAATCGATGAAAAAGTAGTTACATGGAAAAATACTTAAGCCATGTAAGGCCATAACAGAACTTAGAAGCTGCAGTTTGTCTTGTGAAGCCACTAATATATGCTAAACAGGCACAAAGTGGTTTCAATAATTTACGTGATCAAAACATTTTTGGAGTGTGTCACAGAAATTATTGCCTTAAAAATGTGTAATAAATTACAATTAAAAAGGGTCAAAGATACAGGATAAAATAAGGTTTCCATGTCAACTGAATAAAAATAGTTTATTTACAGAACATGAGGAAAAACATAAAAGACCTTTCCTTTTCAAATAAATACATGTGTTACGGGAACACTTCCACTTACTAAAAAAATAAATTTGTGCGATTAAATGAACAGCTCTTATATACTAAACAAAACCATAAAAACATTCAAAGGACAATAGTGCAACCGTATCAGAGCATAAAACTGATGTTTGCCATTTTACCTCTTAGGCTGAAGACAAGATAACCTTTTAAAGTAAAACAACAGGAAAATTTATGCATTCATTATTTCCATTATAAATAAATGCTTTAATTTCTAGATTTAAATATTTTTCCAAGTTCTTTTGCTTTAACATTAATTCAACATGGTATTTTATGAGAGTACAAGACATGATGAAGCTGACCATCACAGAATTTCTAAGATGAGCTCCAACTGAGCTACAGCTATATCCCCATTTAACAGTGCTTTTTCTGTCATCTAGACATTGATCATAAATTTACCCCAAGGTAAAACTTTGTTAACACGTAACAACCTTCAACCTGCATCTTATTTAGGAAACAACACTGCTTCTAATTTAAGTTGCTTTACATGACACAAAAAAATTACAGAACTTAATAAATGGATTTAAGCTACATAATTTGGCTAAATAACATAGGATAGATTTTGTTTATCAAAATAAATGAAAAACAAAAGTACCCAAAACATCAGTGGCCTAGAGACAAGGAAAAACTGGTGTGAAGGCAGGTCCCTGAACTCACATTCTTCAGCCAGCCTCTCTACAAACATGTATATTCACCTGGCACCATCTGAATGATAAAAATATTAGATACGAAAGCAATTACTACACATGCACACATTCCGCTAATTCTGGGATGTGGAACCCAGAGATACTTTGCAAGAGATACTCCTGATGTTGTTACACTGGTGGAGAGAAGGCCAAGGGAGATCTACAGATAGTGAAAGGGAAGTCACCAAGTTTATAGAGAAATTCTTGTTATTAGCAGCACATGATATAATGTGGGAATACTGTTATAAATTTGTAGTCAACATCTGATCAATGCAGTAGGTTAAATTTGGCTTTTCTCCTCAAAGAAGCTAACTGAAGCTGTATTTTTTAAATTTTTTTTTTTTTTTTTAATAATACAGGATTAACAGCAAACAATATTTATATCATTAGGGATATTCCTGGTACACCTGAGTGTCCTGCATTCCCTGCTATCTGCTTCAGATACGTCTCAGAACTACAGTGAGGCCTCCTGTGCTGCTGTGTGGATGCCACAACCCTGAAATCTCCTGCAAGGAATTAGGTAGGTAATGAAGATTCTCTTAGTACTTCAAAAAACCCTCATCAAACATGTTTTGTCTTCTAGGGCTAACTATCTGAACTATTATGATCATACATTATATTGTATGATCATGATAGTATAATGCATAATGCATTGATTTTACAGTGAAATCAAATGTTTTATTCATTCTAGCATTAGATTTCTCTCTCTCTTGTGAAAACTTTTTCTGATAATTACCCACGGATTAGCTGCTTTTATTATGAGTTTGAAAGGATGCCTAAAAACAACACTTTTCCTAGTTCAAACCTTTTTTCTTTTTCGTAAATTATGAACCATCCTGTTTCTCAGACCCCGTATTTTATACAAGAGATGACACAGTACAGGCTGTTTACACATAGTGGTGATAAAATGCAGCAAACAGCTGCTACTCATATGGGTTTTCCATAAATTGATAAAACTTTATCTGAGTTTCATTTACTGAACTAGGTTTCAGCCTGGAGATGTTTTATTAAAGGAAACAGAGGAGGCAACAGTTTGCTGGCTCTGAAAATGTCCTATCCTATTTTGATCAAAATCAGTGAAAGTTAGTTTGACTGCTAACTGTATAAATGCCCAACATTTTTTACTACACTATGGAACTCTTGGGAACTATTTTAAGCAATAATAACTCAGTGTTTAGAGACGCTGACACCTAAAGCTACCATCTCCTTGAAAGTTTCTCATAATTTTTCTAAAATCAGATAAAGAAATTCTCATTAAGATGATTGCTGTTCATTCCAGGGTTCTCTTTTAATGAAAAATTTATACAAGTGCTTGTGCATGTGCAGTAATTCTTTCACCTGGCTGATTTAAAACTTACAAAAAATGCATTAAAATATCTATTAAATCTGACTCCTATGTTCTATGACAATCCTTCAATTACTGATTGAATAGAAGATCTTTTTAAAAACAAGGGAAAAAGTACAACTCGTATAGCTCTGTAGTAACAATAATGATCTAGTCTAAACAGGCACATAGATATTGGATCATGAGTCATTTCAGCAATTCTACATATCACAAATGTTACAATCTCTCTGGAATTTTGAACTGTCCAGACAAATGTTTCTTTCAATCTGAGCTGCATAGGATCAGATGTAAAGTCTATTCTCAGTTCTTAGTCAAACCCCAACACTCAAAATGAAATACATTCTAACTAGCCAACTTTTGAGGAACTACAACAGAACACCATATGCACCTGCTGTTGTCTTCTCCTGACAAAGACCATGCCGGTTCCCCTAAACTAAGGAATTACTTGGACCTAGGCAACCTGCAATGGCTTGGAGTTTTCTTAAGAAATGTTTAATCAACATATATTTACGGCTGTCAAAAACTAGATAAGCAGACATGATCAAAAAGAGATTAACTGTAGCTGTAAGTTTTTGTTTACCTGTGAGTGATATTGGATATTACAGAATTCTGTATATAAGAAATACTGAGGCCATAAAGAAATATGCAGGTAGAGACAGTAATATACATTACAATATTGTACGCAGTGGCTACTGTAGCACTGATTCTGAGCTCATTGCACTGAATTATATTACTTAAGAAAAGTGAAACCAGAGTCTATGGGGTGAAATAATTTCACAAATTTGAATGAGTAGAAAGTAGAGTATGGATTTTGAACATTATGTGTAGCTTCTAAATATACAAATGTATAAATCCATGAAAAGAAAACACTACTGAAACATTTTGGTTTGGTTGTTGGCTTGGGTTTTTTTAAATATGCAAGTTATTTAGTTAAGGAAAATTATCTGTCATTTAAACATTACAACAGTTTTTCATGAGTGCCGACTTTTTGACAGGTGTCCCAGCCAGGCTGGTTACTGATCTTGTATCATCTTGATTATCACTTCGCTTTCGCACCTCTCTGTAAAAAATAAAAAAAAATTGCACTCAATTAACATATTTCTACTCATGTTCACTCTTCTACTTTTCCCCTGTATGTTGCAGAGTTCATCACCATCCATTGCAGGGTTAATACAGTGCAAATTAGCACAGAATTAACATGTCTCACAAGTTTCCAATTTGAGAATCATATTGATGTTTCTATGTAATTCATAGTGATAAAAATATTTTTTTTAATATCTAATAACTCCCCCATGTTCTGATTTATCTTCCATTTTCTTTTGAGAAGTTTTTTTATTTGCTTCTGTATATTACCATAGAAAAAGAGCATGTTCATGGCTCTAAGTATAAAAGCAAATAACCTCAGTTTCAAGTATAAATTTACTTTCATAGAAAAAATGCATATTTTTGGATGTTTTTTAAAAATGAAGACTTAAAAGCTATGCATATATGACTGGCTATGGTTACAGACCACTCGCCTTTCAAAATTATACTTTAACCAGAAATAGTTTGAGAAGGAGTAGAATTGTAATATTTGGCTCATGTACTATCACAGAAATACCAGGGTGCTAAATGAACATAAACAGAATTTCTATCTTGTAAATTATTTAGAGATGGGGACATCAAAGAAAATATGTGTAATTAGAATGGTCAGTAATAAAAATGAATACATACTAATATGTGTGAAAGAATTAAAAAATAATTACACTTAGAATTAATACATTTCAAAATAAATTATGAAAGAGTTAAGAAATGTGCATGTACAATTAAAATTACAATTCATTCAGCAAACTGGTCTTAAAGTTGTGGGCTCTGTAACTGAGTCCTGGTTTAAATATTAATCATTGAGAGAGCTTTGTAACATTTTCAAGAAAAAGATTTACTTCATTAAACTGAAAATATATCCCATCTTGCACTTATCTATAATGATTTCACAGAGTATTCTTATGAATTTTTGTTAACATTGGTACAATTTTAAAACTATGTGTGTATCTTTCTATATATAGTCACATACAATGTCCTTTTTTATAAAATATACTCAGATGTATTTCGGTGAAAATAGAAACACAGTTACTTACCGGGCAAGATGAAGAACTGCTTCTACAATATTAGATCCATCTTTAGCACTTGTTTCACAGAATAGTGCATTGTAAGTCTGTGAGTAAAAATAAAATGTTAAGCTAACTGATCTGAGATGGTTCCCAGGTGAATGGGTACATATAATTACAAATTGTTTCCTGAATAACACAAAGAATGACACTACAGTTAAATGAACAGGATTTCTTCTAGTGTTCTTTATTGTCCAACACATGGACAGTAGTTCTCTTTAGTACTGTGAAATAAAACAGTAATTGTTTTTTAATTGTTTCTGGCTTATAATCAATGTATTCTGAATTAATAAACTGAATAAAAGCCATATTATAAGCTCAATGACCAAACTCAACTTTCTTGTGCACCAGACTGCAAAATAGTACTAAAGTTGCCAGGACTTAATTTAACTTGCTAGCTGCTGTAACTACAGCATCCGGTTATTGTAGGTTAACCAAAAAACATTCCAGAAGTAACACACATGATACCTGCCCAGTATAATCAATCAATCATGCAAGCACTCAGCCACTCAAGACCCTTAATACTCTTCCTATAATTCTACAAAATATGGGATTTGTGCATCTCTTTTAACCCATATAAATACATGCCAAAAAAAAATTGTTCATACTTCTATTTATAGCAGAGAAATCCTTTTTATTTTCTGCACATGTGACAGAAATACAAGAGAATCTCTTGAAGAGAACACTCCACACAATCTGGACAGACACAAATCAGTCAACAGTATGCCTCATATTTGAACTGGCAACTTCTATTTGGCAGCAGAAAAACTCAAGTCTTCCGTCCATCCACTATTTACAAAAAAAGACTGAGAAGTCTTTCACAGCCAATAATGAAGTTCAGCTCAGCAGACACTGAGATGTGTGAGCAAACACCATCAAAATACAATAGTTTAATGTAAAGTATCCATGAATCCTCATCACTTGACTTGGACAAATGAGCAGAAAATTACTTTTGTTTACTTGTTTCTCACATGGTTCTCAGATTAAAATTCCTGAGACCATTTTATACTAATGAGGTACACTTGGACCTTACCATAGCCAGCTTTTCTCCATAGTTTATAGGCACGCACTTCTGCCCTTGTCCTGTAACATCTTGACGGAGATCTGCCTTGTTTCCAACCATCATAATTGGAATATTCTCATGAGTCGCATCCTGTAAAGAGAATTTTATTTCCTTATTGCTAGAACACTCAGAATACAAAGAAGTGGCTAACATCATCATGTCTCAACAATTTCCCTTCTATAATGTCTTCCACACTAGTAGAAAAAAATTGACAAGTTATGAAAGCCATGCTGAGAACTTTCCATAAACCACTCAAAATGTAAGCAGTTGGCTTAACTATCAGCCTGCAAAGATGTGCTTCCATTCCCATAAGCCTTGTTTCCCAGAAAGGAATTTAATATGTTAAGTTACTCTAATGGAATTGGTTACTCATCCAAATACTGTATGATGAAATTATAAAGGGAAAAGTAACCAACTCCTATACCATGACTAAAAGAAAATACTTTCACAGAAGATGAAGTAAGTATTTTGCTTGCCACTTTCCCTCTTATTAAGCATCCCCAGCACAAGAGAAAAACCCCTTGCACTAAATGCAGATTCACATTCAAATAAAAAATAAGAAGTACAAGTGGAAAGAAATATTGAAAGTTTCACTTGAGCTATAGCTAATTTACGAAATCTAATATATTGGTTTAAAACGCAAAGACTCCAAGGAATATTCAAGCCGTCCACAAGAAGGTATCTGAAATGTATTGCCACATTCATTTCAGAAGGAAGTGAATGGAAAGAGTGTCATTAACCAACATCCTTTAACACAAGAAGATGTATCAGTGTGAATTCTAACTGAGTATGGATACATTTAGGACTTCTGTGAAGCTTTTATTTCAATGACAGCCTCCAGTCCGGATAATTACAATTTACATCTATTATAATTTTGTAAATAAAAAGGATAACAATGCGGTGAAACATA